GAGCAGGCAGCCATAGCCAAGCTGCGCTGCTRTAGGMTGGGTGTGGCGCATGGTGGTCCTTGGGTGCATGTGGCATCTGTGTGTTGGGGAACGAGGTTGTGAGTGATGCGAGAGACATACCTGGTGCTGGAAGCGTGCGGCATTGGCCGCTATCTGCTCGTACTTCGGGAGAGTTGTTGTCGTCATCTTCGACATTGTAGTCTAGGCTAGAGTGGATCTGCCATTTGTAGTCGGGACGCCGAGCGCCAGATAGGATATCAACATTGGATTTTCGTTGATGATGATGATGAGACTATTCCAGCATTGTCAATTATGAGCTTCTGGTGTACTCTTATTTGGTGAAACTCGTGATGCAATTCTGCTTTTGGTTCGAGGTCACGACTATCTGGTCTTATATTTATGATGTTGTTTGATTGCTGAAGTTCACTATTGCTCATCTTCCTTGCACTTTGTTCCCTCAGTCTCAGACTACCCGGTTTCCTGGGCAAGACTTCTAAGAAGTAGATGATCGCAACGTATTCCCTTCCTTCAATTGTTCTTCTAAGCACCACCGCTTCGTGCTTCGGGCCCACCCACTTCTCAATCTGCTGTATCACTTTTTGTTCCAGTTGCATCTTGCTGACGCCGAAGACCGGTACTTATGTTGACCCCTGTATGAGCAACTTCATTTCCCCTGGTGCCCGCCAGAGGACGATGGGGCATACATAGCATTCCCCTGCTTGCATTATGTCTGATAGTCTCATTCCGACTCGCTCCTGCCGTGCCAGCTCTGCTATCCTGTTGAGTGGCTCTTGTTGCTCTCCTTCCCCCGAATCTTGTTGTTGCTGGCTTTCCCCTGCTGAGCTACAACCCTCTTTTCTATAGTCCCTGCGTCAGCTCACGTGTCGCTGACTCGCTTGCTGATGCCGCTTCATCTGGTGTATTCCCTCCTTGTTCCTGTCCTCGTCATTGTGTTCCTCTCCCTCCTGTTCATCCACCTCCCGACTCACCTGCTGCTCTCCGTCCGGGCTCACCGGATACGCCGATGATTTCGTTGTTCTTCACAAGGCTCGAAGAGTTGTTCAGGGCGCTCAAGGGTTCCTATCACAATGGCTCCAACCCATGGGCCTGCACTTTGTGCCTGATCAAACTCGCATAGTCACTACGGGAGAAGGATTCCATTTCTTAGCACATGACGTTCTCCACCTTGGCAAAGGCTCGAAGAGCAGACGCTTCGCGTCTGAATCCCTCTGACCCCTCTGTCCCCTCTGTCCCTGATGACTCCGTTGTGTCTTCCTCGTCCCTACAGGGAGGCCAAAACTCGCATCCCTAGGGGGGAATGGAGGCCGACGGTGTTGGTGATACGTCTCTCCTGCCCTTCCCCCTCAGCCAGTATCGCGGTCCCTGCCCTGTACTTCCCAGCAGGGATCGTTATCGATCCCGTGTTTTCCCAGACGTTTTCCACCTATGCTCCTACTGTGTTCTCCATTCTGGTTCTGATCGGTAGGCGTGCCTTATGCGTGTCGATTCGGCCGTTGTTGATGAGAAAGTCGGGATTGGAAAACACTCCGCTGATGAAGAGCTCTTAGGCGGGCCTGCAGTCACCTGCTTCGTTCTCCACTTATGTTCGGCTGGCGATCTCCCCCTCTTATCACGTTCCGCAATTGTCGGCATCTCATACACCGGTCTCTCCCGCGCCTGGATCGTTGTTGACTCCCCCGACTTTTCACGTTTCTCCCTAGGTCTGTACCCGATTGGTGGATCTCCTCCTGCGTTTCTAGCTCGTCTACTCCATGTTGCCCCCCCAGTGTTTCCACCTCCCTCTCCCTATCCTTCCCGTTCCTCTTCGCTTCTTTCCCTGCTACTCCTTCCTGTTCCGATTCGTGCATCTCCTCCCGGCCTGCTGTTCTCTTCTCTGCTCTTCCACTCCTTCTTCCACTCCTCCTGCTTCATTGCGTTCCCCCTCCTGCCCCTTGTTCAGGTTCCCATCCGTCTCTCTCCGTCCCCCATGAGCTTTCCCACTTACCTCCGCCCCCTGCCGTTGATCGTGCCCCGCTCCTTGCTTCCCAGGCCCTTTCTCCCTCCCTTCCTCCTCCTTCCTCTCCTTACTCAAACTGCTACCCAACTCCACCGTTTTCTCTACCCCTCCCATCGCACCCCTCTTTGTTCCATCCTTAACCTCGCTGCTCTCTTTTTCCATCCTTCCTTGAGCTGCTTCCCCCCTCTCTGCTGCCACCCCCCTCGCCTTCGAGCTTTTGATTTCTCTCTTCATGGCTTGCTCCCCCTTGGTCAACTTCCTTTCGCTTTGGTGGCACCTCTGCCCGCTTCTCCTCGTCTGCCTTCTGCCCTCCACGTTCCTCCAACGATTGCTCCGCCTTCCTCTTCCTCTCATCTCCAAACAGCCAGTGGGGCTCGTCCGTTTGCATGGGGTAGTCTTCTCTACCATCCCATGAGACGTTTCGCCAGTACCCCACCACATGCCTCACCATACTTCTTCGCCGTGGTTCCTTTCTTGTCGGCCTGGGTGCCTCTCCCCGTTCCCGTGCTGTTGCTTCATCTCCTCCAGCAATACTCCATCTATTTGGAGCTCCAGATCATCCCAAGCTCTTCCCTCCGCCTCGGGTTCAGATTGCAGAATGGGGTCCATGGTGCTCCTAATCTCCCGATCGTGGAGCGCTTGCAGTGTTTCGGCTCGCTATTAGCATCTTCTATGCGGCCCAATGTGGCCATGCGTAAAACAGACCTTGCAAAAGGGTGTTTCGCTTGTGATGACCCGAACCTCCTCAAAGCTATGTGGTCCTGTGGCCACTGCCACACTGTTCTTCAAGGGATTCCTCATCGGGCCATCAATTATGTATCTCACGTACTCTCGTTCGCCGTCGTCCACCACCTGCTCGCTCACGATCAGACCGACGAAGTATTCCACTGCCCCCCTCATCCACTTGGCCGCCAGGGGGAAAGGCTTGTATACTTTCACCCATGGCCATTGTTTCCGCTCTGCCATTTTTGCTGCCAGCATCTCCGCCTGTGATTTTGCTGGCTGCAACATCACTTGGCTTTGCACCCCCGCCAAGTGCAACTCCTCCGTTCTTCATTCATTTATCAACCAATCCCTCACCTCCACTGTCAGTGCCAAGTACATGATGATTGTATCCTCCTCTGCATCTATCTCCCCTCGCCCCGGCCCTCTTCCCAACATCCATGCCCCGTCCATATGACATGCCCATTCTCGCTTGGTCGTACGCGATCAGCTACATGCCCCCTACGGCAACTTGCAGGCCAACGTATGCACCCTCACATAGGTCTTCTGCAAATACATGACCTCGTTGGTAGGTTTTGCCATGCACACCCTGTTGAACACTACATACTCCACTAACCCCGTTCCTTGGATCAGTCGATGTGTCAAGTACGCCCTCCTCAACATCTGCATGAGGGCCCATCTCTCCTGTTGAACACCCTCCATCTCCGCCTGTGATTTTCATGGCAGCAACATCACTTGGCCTTGCACCCCCGCCAAGTGCAACTCCTCTGTTCTTCTTTCATTTATAAACCAATGCCTCACCTCCACTGTCAGTGCCAAGACGATTGTATCCCCCTCTGTATCTATCTCCCCTCGCCCCAGCCCTCTTCCCAACATCCATGCCCCTTCCATATGACGTGCCCACTCCTGCTTGGTCTTACGCGACCAGCTACATGCCCCCTACAGCAACTTGCAGGCCCTGTATGCACCCTCACATACATATTCTGCAAATACATGACCTCGTTGGTAGGTCTCGCCATGTACACCCTGTTGAACACTGCATACTCCACTAACCCCAGTCCTTGATCGGTCAATGCATCAAGTACGCCTTCCTCAACATCTGCATGAGGGCCCATCTCTCCTGTTGGACACCCTCCAGCCCTTGCCTCTCCTCCCCTCTTCACTCACAGTTGTTCTTCGCTATTTGTCGTGTGTCCCTTGTTTCCACCCCCATCCCTGTATCGGTCCACTGTGTAACTAGTACTTCCAACACTAGTCGACTCTTCTCCCACACTTACTGGAGGTATCTCTTGCCGAGCGCTTCCGTTAAGACTTCCTCGCTTCCTCGCGAGTTTGACTACACCCCCAGGCCATGGTACAGCATGCCGTTCTATTCAGCCATTCAGTGCAACGGGAGGAGCTCTTGGAGAGATCTCCTTTCTCCGCCCATGTGGTTCCTGCCATAGTTGACCCCCCCCCAAGCCCGGTTTTACTTTCTTCCCCCAATCATCTCTACTCCCCACCTACAATCGTTCCCCCTATCTCACATTTCTCTCAACCTCGGCTCTTCCCTATGTCCTTCTGGCCTCTCCCTTTCCATGAGTCCTGTCAGGCGTCATTTCATTTGCCCCGTCATGTTCCCCGCGATTCTCCTCGGCGGGCTATGCCCTTCCTCAGTCGCTGCGCCTTTGCAAGCCCTCGGAGTACATTGCCGCCACTCAGGCGAGACACCCACTATCGCCACCCGCCGCTGACCGCGCTTCATGTTGACGTCCATTTTTCCCCGGTGAGGCCGGTCCCAGGTCAAAAGAGGAGAAAACAATTTGCGCGGTGGACTGCCACATGAGCGAAAACTCTACCTGCTACCCGCATCCCCGTCATTTCACATGCGCTAAATTTAGTGCAAACATTAGCACTCCCCGGTTGTTTTGTTTTACAAAGCCATAAGGACCTGTTTTAACCCCAAAAAAAATATAAATGGTAATGTCCATGCTCAAGCCCTAGGTTCAGTGAACACCCAGAAACTCCAATCTAATCCACATCCTGTAAGCTTCAGAGCATGAATTTTGAGTTACTGACTACAGGTAATTGACTCAACCTGTGTTTTCCAACTCAAAGTTTTTCCTCAGTTTATTGAATCTGGAGCCAGGACCAACCATCCTGTGTTGTTGAATCAAACAGTTGCTTCTCATTTCCCGTTCCGGCCTTTTCTGCTTACCAAACTGATGCAATTTTTCTGATAACCATGTGATTGGCATGGGAATGTTGCCTGCTCGATCAGGTAAGTGAAGTGCAGTTTATTGCTTCTTTGAGTGCGGAGAACAAGAAGTTGTCACTGCAGCAGAAGCTTGAGCAATCTGAGGTTCGACGCCAGAAGCAGCTGGAGAGCATCCGTCAGAAGCAAAGGGGTGACATGGCTAAAGAAGAGGCAGCTATGAAGAGAAGGGAGGCCCTAGAGGCAGAAAGGCTGCAAAAGATTGCAGAACAACAGGTCAGTAGCGGGAACCTTCTGTGTGTCTCAGCGGCGTGACATTGCTAGACATTGATATGGCCAGCAATGAGGCATTCGTGCTTGATCCCAGCTCTAGAAACGGAACCAGGACAAGTAAGATTTGCTCAAGACAGACAGACGAGCGTAAACAAATAGTGAAGTGGGTGGTGTGGGCCAACGCGACAACTGTGTTATGAGAATGGTTATTAACGGGACTCTCGAGTGCCTTTTCAGTCTGCAGCAGTTCAAGTCTCTTGCTGGGCCTTAGTGTGCTTTCTCAGCCAAGGATACACTATACCGAAATACTGTTATATCCTACAGTGCAATTATCCACACTTTCACAAGGCTTCTCACACTCACGATCCACCAAGTTCACATGCGCACGAGACTTCACAAATAAGTTGCACATCACACAGACTGAACACCCTTCAACATCTTTTTTTTTTATATTTTATGCAAGGAAAATAAGTAACAGCGAAATGACAATTCCAGATCACACCATCACATTGAAAGCCAAATAGTCACACTGTGTCCAGAGAGCAGCATTGCACCAATAATACACCAATGGAGGCTCGTAGCACTGACAACCAATGTTCATGGAGAGCATACTCTCTCCTCCCAACACAAGAGTCCAGTTCCTTCACACTCACACTCGGCGCGCAGCGCCCAGCCTACTCCTACACAGCTACTACAGACTACAAAAAGACAATGCAACTGTTGACATCAGCGGCAGCCCGAAGTACTTGAAAATGTTGCCCATGCAGACCATCGCCAATACAAGGTACGTGCCCTCACATCATCATCATCATCATCATCCTTCACCTATCCCCTGACTACACCACACCTGTCCTCTCTTTGACCCGAAGACCAACCCTGTGCTGCACTGTAGTCCAAGCCCACCAGCTATGGTGGCTGGGCTATGGTGCTGCCCTCAGCAGCGCCCTCCTCCTCTGCACGACCGCATGTGCTGCACCTCGCCTCTCAGCGCCAGCCAGCAGCCGCGAGCCTTTGCTCCAGCAGCGCTGGCGCTAGCATGCGAGTGCCTGAATGAGGCTGCCTGGCCAGAACTCTTTCCTTTATGGAAAAGAGCTGGCCAGCTCTCGCAGCCTGGCTGGGCTGGCCCGGGCCCAGAAGCTTCCGGAAGGCCCCAGGAGGCTGCCTGGATGCAGCAGCTACTGGGCTGCTGGGCCTCGTTCGGTTGGGCGCCCAACTGTCTCTGTATGAGGCTACGAATCACGCCCAGGGCCTGCATTCTTTGGAAAGGCCCGGTAGGCCGTGGAAATGTCTTCGGTACATCAAGTTGTATACAAGTCTCCAGGCAGCTAGCACCGGGTACGTCTCTCTGCGTCAACCTAACTTTCACCTGCGCATAGAGAGGGAATAATGGCTGCGGAAACTCAAGCAACTTGCACAATTCCACTCTGTGATGGCCCACCTGAGATTCAGCTAGCATGTGATTTGCATACTCTGTGTTGTGAGGACTGTGAAGGCATAGCCTATGCAAGTTTTTGTTTTCAGACGTGTGATGACAGTCAACATTGCACTCATGTATGGCACCCTGGCATGTCATATCACATTTGTAGATGGGCTGGAACGGCAATGCCTATACAATTGTGGTCGGTGTGCCTCTGTGTACGCTGCATGTAGGAGCCACACAGCCTGTGATGTCTGTCCACGCCATGCCATTCGATGCAGCAACTGCAACCGCGAGAATTGGATGCGGTGCTTCCTCAGTCCACACCCGGATCGGTCCTGTCCAGTCTGTAGGGGTGGCCACTTACAATAGGCAACGGCTGCTCCTGAACTCAAAATTCCCCGCAACCCAAACACTGACTGCTGGCGATTTGATCTGCCTCACACTTCTACAGTGCATGTGCTACATTGCACGGCTACTGTGCGTGGTTCCAGCGCACGCTGTCGGAGGCCGCGGTGTCCCGGCCCTCCGCAGTGTACCAGTGTGGCATACTGCGCACCACATGGGCCTCCAGGGCCCGAACAGGCGGAATAAGGGCCCTCCAGGCCCTGTGTCATTTCAGCCTAAAAGGAGGGACAATTTTAGGCCCTCTTAAAGTCGACCTTTCCTGAAACTTAGGTGCCAGACCAGGGATAAGCACAGGCCATTTTTAGGCCCGTTTCAAGACAACGTCTTTTTGAACTTGGGCGCCAGGGTCTGGCACAATTCGGCATTGGCAAGAGCAGTCTCCCAGCTGGACCAGCGCTATATAGTGCTGGTCCGCCCGGGAGGGCACAGGCAGTTCAGGAGGCAGTCTTCGGGCACTCGGAGGAGCGCTGCAGTAGTAGGAGATAGGAGTAGTCTTCAGCGCTGGGCGCTCAGCGTAGCGTTAGAGAGAGAGGAGAGTGGCGGAGGCCAGGGCGACTTACCTGTGACGCCATCGCTCCAGCTTCATCTTCGATGTACCCTGCAACAAGGCGCCACCTTCCACAGGTTAGTACCTGGCACAGAGAGAGAGAGAGAGAGAGAGAGAGAGAGAGAGAGAGAGAGAGAGAGAGAGAGAGAG